GCAATTTGAACTGACTCTGCTAAAACAATCTGAATGCGTAACAATATAAGACAGGCAGAATTAATCAATAGCCAAAAACTAATCATATAAAGACTAGTACACAGGTTCCCAAGGATCAGAAATTTTCTCCCGGGGAGGAACTCAAGCTGGGTATTCAAAGAGGGCAACATGAAGGAGATTATTTATTCTAGCAGTATTATCCAGTTATGAGCCTCATGACGTTAAGTTCTGTTCGTGATCAAAGGCGCGCCAAGGATATGAATGATAGCTTGGGAATCTCGGATTGAGATAGAAGCGAGTAACAAGTTAATCCAGAGAAATGGTATTGCTCATGAACACTAAAACACTTTTTGCAGAAAAGAAGGATGTCACTGCGATCCGAAGTTGTCCACGTGTGTTATAGATCGTGTAACGAGAACACCGCGTCGTGGTTTCATTGAATACACATACTGCTATCCAATCCCCTTCTGGCACTGTCCATAAGAGAATACAACACACAATACCGCATCACTCTAGCACAGACCACTAGCCATCAGACTTTGGCTTTTGAACGCTAATTAAACGTTTTTGCTTGAATAGGAGGTATTTGCATCGCTGAGACTATATTTTTTGATCAACAACTTCGAATTTAATGCAAATTTGGAAGAGCTCTTTCGGAGGGAATGACTGTCCATGGTTACGGCCTGTGCTAACATTATCAATAACGTTGCCTTTAATAATTGTTGTGAAAAGAGTATTGTGTGACTGAATACAACATATCCTGAATTAATTGTTTTCGGTTTCTGAAGCAGTAATATCGAGAATAGATTATATTCTCTCAGCGCCGTATTGCCTTACGATTAATAAATGACTCAAAATAACGAATTTCCAAGTTGTTTCGCCTATTACATTAATTTTCTGATGTGACATATTACCATGTAATTATTGTTGAAATCACCCTTCAGAATCTAACCAGCCATAAATCCCTAACATTCCAGAATATTAGGGTGATTCATACCGAGTGAATGAATAAATAAAATGGTAAATATCCGTTAATCCAGCTGCATTCTCGCAATTTATCCTATCGTCAGAAATGGTCAGTTTCAAGCCCACTAACAACACACACTCAATTCTTCTAGTTTAATCGTATAGATCACCAGAACACAATCATCATCATTTACACGATCTTAAATATCATTTTACGAATATGACCCAAAAGCACTTCAGTGAGTTTTCCCCGACTCGGTCATGCGATCATCTGCATAATTCCTGATCCGTATGAACGGCGCAAAACACTACCAACAGCATTTCAGTCTTAAATGTCTCAGTCACCCGAGTGAAAGGTGATATCTACAGAATGCGCCCGACCACTACTTCCAGATGCATAACTTCTCGAGACCACCTTATTGATCCATTTATTTCACTTCCCAACATCCCATATCACGAATTCCTAATCAGTGTTCGATGTTTGTTTCCGTAGTCATAGATCTGTCGCAGCTGCATCATTTAATATTTCTCTACTTCTTCTTTGACGTAAACAACAAGTAAAAATCATCTAACTCAGTTACTTTCTTCTCCAAGATCCCTTTATTTACGAGCAGAAAATTGATCAGAATCGTCTTGACTTTTAACTAAAACCTTGAGACAGATATGTACTTGCCTAAACTGACTACACTCACCAAGCAACTGTTAATTTTGAACTCTTCTTATTAACAATAAGCTTAAAACAAATGAACGATGCTTTAAACGTGTTTCGATTGCGAAAAATTAACAACAAATTAATATTTCATAGTGATTATAATATTAACAATAACAATTCACAAAACAAATAACATCATCATCATCACCATCAAATCATGCCTTCAATGCATATTTCCTCAACGGGAATTTGCGTTCCTTAGCGAGCTTTTTTGCCGATTTCAATGAAGCTTCATGGGGAGTCAGTGCACGTCGCATCGAACGTGTCTTCTTTAGACGCAAATCAAGAGGCTTGTATTTCTTGCCCTGTAACAGGTGATAATAACCAATAATGAGCAACAAAAACTCAGATTTATGTTGCCATCAAAATGCAGTTATTATCCATATAACTAAAATAAATTGATGCAAAGAAAGCATAAAATTCAAATCAGGTTTGTACGAAAAATGGACAGTATAAACATTAAGTTTTTGACATCAGTCTCAAGAAAACTCATCTTTTCTATATCTCAGCCTAATAATAAGAAAATAAACGAGAAACTAATAATTATTCGAAGCGAGACCAATCGCTTACTGGTTGAAACCTGATGAGAGGGAAACAGATTTTCAAGAGAACGAAAAAATTAACAACCTACTACAGAAACGAAACCATAAAAGCTGAAGATCGAACCTTATATAATTTACGCAATTCTTGCTTCTGCGTTTGATTGATGACCGTCAAAATTCGTGCGATGTTCTTGCGGACTGTTCGGATTTTTGAAAGTTTCGAAACAGCACCACCAGTTACTTTAGATACCTTGAAGAAGATACGTGAAAACACTGGAGCCAGATTTGCTTTGATCAATGACTTTCAAATGCTTTTTAGATTTGAGCGAACTTATAACCTCTTTAAAATATCACACATTTTTCTAAAAGAAAATACCTGAAACATCAGCAATTGATGACAAGCAACTCAATGAACAGTTACGACTACAGCTTAGAAATAAACGTTACACAACAGGTGACATCAATGATTAATTCGTTCAAAATATTAAGCCAACATGACTAAAGGCACCTAATAAAACGCTTCTGTTTCAACCAACCCAGTAAATCTGTAGTGACATTCAATGTTCCATATAAGACAATGAGTAGTCACATAATACTTATCAACATTTGAGTTATTAACATAAAATCTCAACTTGTGGATACATAAACTACCTGACATTAGTGACAGTCAATGTAAATTTAGCGGTAGTACTCAACGTATTTTCGTAGACACAACGACAAGAACAAAGAGGACAGAAAACGAATGAAACTACCTGAAGAGAAGCTAATTCGGTTTTCTGTTCATCCAGCTGCTTCGTTAAATCCTCCTTCTTTTTGCCACGAAGGTCACGAGCCTTAACGCGAACCATTTTCGATAACTCACCCTGCTAACGATATGTCTACCTTAACGGTTATTTGATTAAAAACCTTTCACCGCAATCGACATTATGGTACTGTTGTATTTCAGGTTGGTAAAATCACAACGGCACTTTGTTCGTGTGAATATTCCTTGCTGTGCTCTAACTAAGCAGCATATTCTACTGCAAATGTGAACGAAATACCATTTTGATTTTACCAATAAGACGAAGAAACGCAAGCGTCATATTTACCTAATAAACAGGTATTTTGTAAAGGAATGACGG